GCGGCCTAAAGGGAAGGCTACGGTCATTTTGACAAACAGTTGGTATTTATTTTGGTACAGATCTAAGAATTGGAATTCTTTTGGGATTTTCCATACGAATATAAGTTTGTATTTATTCCTGGAAATTGAATACATACCAAAATATATATTATGTCTTAGCAGAAATCTACACTCCATGCAAGACATCTATTAATCTTTGTCTGATACAGGTCAGAGTCATGAATAAAGGAATGAAAATCGTACTTCCGGGAGTTAAAGCAGACAAATATACGTTGATATTTGCTATTTTTTCACTTAGTCGTATGTCTATAATACGATCGAAAACCATTGAAAAAAATATTAATGACATCTGATGATACCATCTTAATGATTGCTCAACGGTAGGTTGTTTCCAAGTCAAGACTGGATAGAAACAAGAAAATATTTTTGATACAGCAATATATTTCCTTACGATAGTCTGACCAAAATTTCCGTATGAATTTATTTTCTAGTTTCACTGTCTCCCAAAACAACTTTAAAAATTAAAGCCACAGTAAAAAAAAAAAAAATAGAAAATTCTCTCTCCACCTACTCAGTATGTTAGGAGAATCACATCCATGGAAGAAAAAAATATTTATAGATAAGGAAAATAAGTTTTGAAATAGTTAAATAGACACAAGTATAGAGATAAATAAAAAAAATTAAATCCACCTCTCGTTGTATTGAGTTCAACTGAAAAGATTTGCATTAAAATGAACATATTTTCCGTTCGATCCGTTGAATCTATTTTGAAAAAATAGAAATTCTTACAACAAAGAAAACACGAATCTCGATTTCGACATCAGAATATTGGAAGGCAGATGTCTTTTTTTTTTTGTTTTCTTCTGGACTTATTTATATAAATATAATATTCCATCCGATTTATGTTTTATATATATATATATATATATATATATATATATAGTACGATAGATATGTTTTTATATATATATATATATATATATATATATATATAGTACGATAGATATGTTTTATATATATATATATATATATATATATAGTACGATAGATATGTTTTATATATATATATATATATAGTACGATAGATTAATAGATAGTGACTTAGATTGAGGGATCGGAGAGGCGAGTTCGAATTCCAGTCGAGTTCATTACATTCACTTACTTGAAAGATAAAGCCATCTCTCCTCGACCAGCAATGGTTAAACAGAAAGACAGAATGAGTTGGCTGAATTTGTTTAGCGGCATATGAACACCTCTATGGGTTATTTAATGCCCGAAATCCAAATATACCGCACGAATTGTTATATTACAGATTCCTTGTACATCATTTTATACTTTTAGACTAAAAGGTATGTTTTTTTTAGATATATAGATTGTAGATCATAAAATGAATTCTTGGTAATTTTACTATAAATATATACTATATTGTCATCCACAGACTCTTTCGTGGTATCACAGCTCATCAGTGCGGCTAGACATCCGACTGCCTCAAACCGTTATCGAAACCAGACTGATTTGGCATCGGTCGGAGATTTTACCTTTAATCTATTGACGCCCGGTAGAAAGAAATGTGAACTTTTGGTGTATTTATTCTTTGAATAAACACGCCAGTGACCGAGAGGGCTCAATTTATAGAAGAGCTTCGCACTATCAGCAATAGTAGTCACTGATTACAAATTCGCGCTTTCTCTCCAGAGTGCTCGACCAAAATTAATTTTTCGGGGCCATATATATTGTCAGTCACAGAGTTTTGCTTGGGTATTTACTATTTGCCCATAGCTGGGACCCTAAAAGTTGCTATCACCTGTGTCCAGGATGGACCTGGCAACAAAGGTGTTAAGTGGTGGTTCTGCGTCTCCAATCTTCTGATCGGATGCCTTGGTGCCAGAAGTAGTTTATTGTCTTACAAAGGGCCGAATGGGTGCTATAGCCTTAAATGACAAGCCATCTAGGAGAACGAGTAACGTTTGGGGTCCTTGTGCTGTGCTGTTCCCCAGTTCTTCATATTCAACTCTTTCAAGTGTAGTTTGTTCTATACAAGCCTGCACCACTAAAAACAAATCGTGTGCGTGGATCGACCTGGTTGTTCGGTTCTAAGAACTGAGTTTCTATAGCCTCACATGTCGAAATAATACGGAGTGTTCCTTATTTTTTTTAGTGTGATTTAAATTTAAAGACGACTTACTGATTTATATATACATTTTTCACGATTACAAAAATGAAGTTCTTTTAATATACATCTTGATGTATTCTTGCTTTTCAGAATATTATAAGATAAGGAAAATTGAGTGTTGCTTAAGTTCTACTCCGACGACATGGGGTTCTTTTGGGTTATCGTTTTGATTGTACAGTGTTTTATTATTTACATTTTTCGGATTTTTATCCTCATCTTCGTTGCCGTATTCATAACGTTTTGGCCTTCTTCAGCTGATTGGAATTTCGAACCGAAACCATTATTTCGTCCACCGGGTCAGATTGTTCTATTTCTATGCTTCTTCCGGATGTCTCAGTTATGTCCCTTTAACTCAACTCTCCAAGTTTTTTGATTCACCACTGCTGTAGCCTGGTATTGAACTCTTTGTGTCTACGATAAGATGACATGATAAAATCAATCAAGCTGAAAATATTAAAATTGTATTATATAATAAAAACTATATTTTAAATAAAGCTACATGAAACAAAAATAAAAAAATAAGATGAAGGAAGCAATCAAAGAATCATTATAAAATAATACGAATACTATTTGGCCGAGGATTAGTGAGCTTTTCAAGCAGACACAAGTAAAGTGATTTCAGACCTCATTGAATATTGGTGCATTGTTGGCTATGAAAAAATAAACTCAGCTTATTCTATATAATAACTTAGAGTTATGCTACGGCTAGACATCTCAGCTAGAAAATCGTTTCGCTATCAGTTCAATTACGACTTCGTTGTTTATTACTGAGGTATTTTGCTTATCTTTGGTAAACATGATCGATCGATCGGGTTGCATAATACATCAGCGGATATTTTATAGAAATTTATCATAGGAATAATATCCACTTTACCTAAAGAATTAATTCGATTGATTTCGAATGAAGTATGCAAAAGTGCTTTCAGGTAAAGAAAATATTCCGTTCTTACATTCAAATTACAACAATTTCAAAATAACATTCCTCCAAAGCGAGAAATCGAGCACGTAATAAATTCTTAACAGATACACGCAAATAGGTCTACATCAACATTTATTATTTTTCGATTTTATTACCAACAATAATTTCATGGTTTCTTTATGGGTCAGGTTTTTTCAGGACGTAGAATATCATAGTTCCCCCACAACTTTTTACCCTTTTTACACTATCTATATTTTTCGAACTGTTGTCCTCATATTTACTGTCACATTCACGACATCTCGAGCGTTGTACGCTCTGGCCTTCAGGTGATGTCTGTTGGAATAATGTTTGGGAGAGATGGCTCAGTGGTTAAAAGCATTGGCTGTCTGATCAAAAGAGTTGTGATCTCAATTCCTGATCTTGGCGGAGAGAATAAAATCATAGAGAGTTATCTAAACTAAAACTGAGATATACAAAGGCGTAGCACGTGGAACTAGAACACACTTCCCCCATAGACTAAATTAAGAGTTTAGTTTGAAATCCCAGCATATATCACCTCAAAAAGGCCGGTGCGTATATCATTAGGAATCTGGCAGTAAAGATGAGGACAATAGTCCAAACAATGGAAATAGTGTAAATAAATAGTTTCATAGATGTTCCTACCTGATCTTTCTTTAGACTTTTATAGAGTTTTGTCAAATCGGTGACATACTCCTTTCCTCGGCTTTTTCTTTCGTTATGTCCCAAGGACCCTCTTTTCTACTGTTGCGTCAAGAGATTTCAACTGCCTTGTTCTGTTTCTTAGTATAGGTTACTATGTAATTTCTATTTATCAGATCTTTTCGTTTCTTATATGCTTAGCGATGATATACTCCACATTCGTCGACAGAACTACACCTGTCTATTGAAGTATTTCCGTCTGCGAAAACATTTTCTAACAATCACTGCGATATATACATTATATATTTTTTATTATTTTTGTTGCCATGAACATGTTGCTATCCTCATATTATTTGTTAAGTTTCTAAAAGGCGTTTTTCTTTTTATTCGTATTAAACCATAATTATGTTTTTCCTAATCAGAACTTTATAGCACTATATTGATTGTTTACATATAACAGGAGATGTTAATGTTATCTACCGTACCTATGAACACTAATGGGTATGTCCCAATCCTAATAAATACATTGGGCACTATTCTAAGTAAGGGTAATAGGTAGTCCCCCACTAGCAGTGGTTTACCTACTTCCTGCTGCAGGCGAGTATTGTATTTTGCTGATGTTATAAAGATTACCATTTCATTTCTAACCTTCTCATTCGGTAACGTTTTCTAGGTCACAACAGTTAACTTGTTCGAAATTCTTATGTGGAACAAATTCTTTGTTATAAAATTTAGACGAGTTCATCTGTTTATGTTAATTTCTTTTTATTGGGAAGGAGTTATCGGGTGAACTAACACTGATACCAGGTAGAGGGGGTGATTGTTATATGCGCCGATGATACTGTTGATGGCTGACACGGAAAGACAAGTACAGGACATTCCAGACACGGTACTAAAAGAAAGCAATAAAAAATAATTAACCATCAATTTAAAGAAGACAAAGTATGGTCATCAGCAAGAGGAAAGGCCCAAGATGTGAGTTAACTACGGGAAATATAAACATCAAGTAAATACAGAAGGCTAAATATATGCGAAGCTTTAACAGTGGATAGAAAATGTGACGCCAATAACAGAACACGTATTAGACTAGGGAAAGTGGCATTTCAAAAGCTAAGAAAAGTACTGAAAATTTCGTTAGAAATATAAAAAGCGCGCTCTACTGCTATATAATATCCATCCTTGTATATGACAGTAAATGCTAGAAGACGTGTCGCCGGAGAAGTAGTAAACGGAAATGGTTTTACAGAA